GTGGGACCCGGGTCTTTTGATTGTAGGTGGGTGGGGAGCGTTGATGAAGGTCACAGCCGCGCCCAGGAGGAACTTGGGAGGGATTTTGTCTTTGACTCAAAATCCTGTGTGTGGGGCCAAGCAGAACAGAAAGCATGTGGTGGTTGTATGTTGCCCACAAAGCCCTCGTAGGCTCTTGCCCGTGTTCCTATGAGGGTGCTCCCTGCTGGGCTGTAGGCTCCCTTCCTTGCTCAGCACTGGAGTATCGGGGGGACCTATTGGGTCCTGTGTGTGTGCGATAGGAGCGGGTCTGATCCATCCAGCGGGTCTCCAGGGCGCTGTCTCCCTCCGCCCTGCGCCCTCACCAGGGACTGTGTTGCTGGGGAGTGGAGCGGAGGGGACGTCAGGGAACGGCAGGGGCGAGCAGGGGTGCCGCTGGCTAGGAGCGGCCACTTCCGACACCCCACCGCACAGAGGACAGACAACTATGGCTGACGGTTACCCGCGCGTTTCCAAACAGCTCAGAGAGAAGATTCTGAACAGTCCCAACACGAAGACAGATAAATGTCTGAGATGATGGATATGCTAATTACCCTGATCACTACACGATTTAGACACAGATTAAAAGGCCACACACCACACCCCATACATATGTAAAGTTATTACGTGGCAATTGGAAACAACAAAAAGGAAAAAGGAGGGTGGGCATCTGGTCTAGCAGTTGAGCACCTCACATCCCGAGTGCTGGGTGGGATTCCTGCCCCTGGCTCCTGACTCCAGCCCCTCGCCGACGTGCATGCTGGGAGGAGGTGGTGCTGGCTCACGTGACTGGGTTCCCGCCACCCACGTGGGAGACCCGGACTGAGTTCTGACCTCTGTGGACATTCGGGAAGTCAACCAGCAGTCAGGGGCCGTCTGTGTGTGTGTCTGTGTGTGTGCACATGTGCCTGTCTGTCTCACACCGTCTCTCCAAGTTTTAAAATATTTTAAATAATGCGTTTTCATTTAAAAAAGAATAGGGCTTCTTTGGCACTGCATTCTAGAACCTGGGAAACCCAAGAGCTTGATGCTGACGCCTGCTTGGCTCCTGGTGAGGGCCTTGCACGGCTTTGTAGCACGAGTGGAAACAGCACACGCAGGTGTGTGCAGGGAGGAGGCTGGCGTCAACCCAGCCCCGCATGCTCCGTCCTCAGACAGCTGAGTGGCAGGCTCCCGGGCTCCGGCTCAGTCGGGACACCGGCCCACGCAGGCACAGGCTCCTGGGCTGGGACTCTGGCTTCACGGCCAGGTCGTCATGCGCCCTGTCACTCAGTGTGAAGTAGCACCGAGGGTGTGCTGGCGGTTCTAACAGGGGGAGAATTTCAGCATTAGCATGCCCCCTCCCACCGTGTTTTGGGACGTGCATGGCCCAGCAAGCTTCCCCTCTACCCCAGCAACCAGGGAGCTCAGAGGACAAGGTCAAGGTCAGGGTCAAGCACCTGCCCCAGGATCAGAGCGTCTCCTCCTGACCGTCTGATCGCTGGGGGCACTGTTTTACTTTAAACCACCCGTCCAGCTTGTGTAAGTGATAAGGTGCACTTTTTTAAGGATGCTAAAGAGAAAACTCTTCTTTTTCCACACACGTCTCCTGAGTGCTGCAGCTCGCTCTGGGGTCGGTCCCCACTTCAAACACCCCAGGCGGTGCCTCCCCTTCAGGCTGCAACGCGGCCCCTGCTCTCCCGTGTTAAAAAGAACCCCTGCCCCAGCCCACGGCGCTCTGCAGGCGCTGGCCCTGGCCCTCGTTCCCTCCAAGACTTTGGTTGGCATTCAAGGCCAGGCCTGAGCCCGAGGCAACCCAGCTTCCGCCTGCACGCACACCCTTTGGGCTGAGGCCCCTTCCCTGTGGTTCCTGGTCACTCGCTCTCTCTCTGCTGGCCGACCTCCCTGTCGCCCTCCCCACACCGCCCTCGCTGTCACACCAACAGCTGCCCTTACCACCCAAACCCCAGGCAGCCCCCAGCCAGGCGCCCTCCCGGGCTCCCCCAGCCCTCCCTACGCCACCTGGTGCCTCGGCCGTGGCTCCGCTCAGCCAGGAGCTGCCCAGGCCTCTGCAGCCTCATTACTGAGCCCCAGATCCACGAGGGACAAATGACCTCCAGACACTGCCTGGGGGTCGGTGGCACCTCCCACGCTGCCTGTCCCACACCACCTCCGTCGAATGGCCCCGTGGCCCACAGCTGAACTCAAGGCGGAAGTGAGGCGGTCACCACCCGGTTATCCATTCAAGCTGTACTGACGCAGGGCTCCCCGTGCACTGGGCTCTCAGTGCTGGACAAGGTGTGGCGGACAGAGAGACACACAACAGAAATGGGTGTTGGTCCCGGAGGCGGAGCTGGGCGGTGGGGGAAGTACTGGACTCTCCAAAGAAACCAAGGCACTCTTCCCCACCCCTGGCCACAGCCATGGTGTCAGGGGCGTGTGCAAATTGCAGCCCCGGCTCCGGAGAGTCCAGGGCTGTGTGACCTCAGGAGAGCCACTCTGTCTTCTTGTCTGGCTTATCGCATGGATGGGAGTGCCTGCCTGCAGCCACCCTGCAGGGACCAGTGCGACAGGAAGCCTTGGAGAGTGTCTAGAAGACAGCAGGCAATCTATAGACACCCACACCTACGGCAGCCTTGCCCCTGAACTCCCGAGGGAGAAAGAGAGAGAGAGACAGAGAGAGATGTCCCATCCCCTTGCTCACTCCTCAAGTGCCCAGAAGCCAGGAAGTCCACCCAGGTCTATCACACGGGTGCCAGGGACCCAAGCACGTGTACCATCACCTGCCACCACTCAGGAAGCTGGAGCCAGGACTTGAACCCAGGCTCCCCCAAATGGCGGGAGGGCCCTCTTAAGCACTGAGCCAAACACACGCCCCAAAGGTGCCTTCTTCCCAGACTCTAGGGCTCTCATTACACACAATAAGCTCCGTGGCTCACCCTGGCTTCCCCCACAGTGCTCTGCACGAAACAAGAAGCCCGAATTGGACAACCAAGCGGACGGATGCAACGAAACGAACGAGTGACAGTATCACCGATCACTGAGCCCAGCATGACTCAGGGTCACCATCAGTGGCCCCCCCAGGGCATGGGAAGAAGGGACAGCACGGCCTCGCATCGCGGAACAGCGCCCCCTACCGGCACAGGTGGTCAGTGCGGCACAGGGCGCGCAGGTCCAGGCAGTTGGGCTTCTCCTTGTCCTCGTAGGAGCAGCTGGGCAGGATGGTCTGGCGGCGGCGCTCGGCGCACGCCTGGTCTTGGCAGGAGCAGAAGAGCATGCGGTAGGTGTACTCGCTGGGCACGCGGTCGAAGAACTGGCGCAGGGCCTTGTGGCACTTGCGCCGGCTGCAGCGCTCCGTGGGCGAGATCTCCCGGTTGCAGATGGAGATGTAGGAGGAGCGCAGCTTCTTGCAGTTGTCGTTCAGGTTGCAGGCCTTGGCCGCGTCCAGGCACTGGTTGCTCTTGGCGCTGACCGCCGGGTCTGCCCCTGTCCCTGCACAGGGAGGAGGAAGAAGAGAGCGGTCAGGGTTCCGCCGCCACCTGCCACGCCGTGTGAGTGCTGGTCCGAGTCCCGGCTGCTCCACTTCCCACCCAGCTAATGCGCCTGGGAAAGCTGAGGAAGACGGCCCCAATGCTTGGGCCCCTGTACCTGCGTGGGAGCTGGAGAGGAAGCTCCTGGCGCCTGGCTTCAGCCTGGCTCAGCCCCGGTCATTTGGGGAGTGAACCAGTCGATGCGAGATCTCTCTCTCTCTCTCTTTCTGTAACTCTGCCTCTCAAATAAATAAACCATTTTAAAAAGAGAGAGAGTCAGAGGCCTGCAGTGGGACGGCAGAGCTGCCTGAGACCGACATGTTTGTGAGTGCCCGCTCTCCGCCTCAGTCTCCTGGTCTGTGAAATGGGGATGGCGTCACAGGACCCGCGTCTAAAGTCTGCGGTGAGGATCCGAGGTGGTGGAAACGGACGGCGTCTGGCACCGGGTAAGCCTCCCACATCGCAAGCTGACGATGACGACTTTTACCCCCAAGTCTTGTTTCACACTTAGCACAAGCCTAAGAGGCAGTCAATCCGGTGTGCACGGCCTCTGCCTCATTTAGGATCACAGGGCCTGGGGGTGGGGGTGGGGCTACTGAGGGGGAGGAGGGAGGAGGAAGGGGGGAGGCCCCACCCCTCTGGGGAGAGCTGGGACTCCAACCAGGAAAGCTCCATGGCTGAAACTGGCTGTTCCCATCAGCCCTCGGTCCCGGCCCTGTGACCTGCAGCAAGTGGCTGAAGCCGCCCTGCCTAGCGCTGTCCACCTGGGGTCGTTACAGGCACGGACAGGGCCCACGTCCTCTCCGGCACACACAGCAATTCTGCTCTGCCCGGCCCCCACCCTCCCCATCAGCTTTTACACTGCCCGCCTGCAACCAGCTAAACGCCTCCTCGCACCCGTGAGCCCCCTCCTGACGCCCCCCACTTCTCTGCTCCCCTTTCAAGCAAAGCCCCATCAGTGAGTCGTCTACACCCGCGTGCTCTGCGGTCCTCCTGTGCTCTCATGGACTCATGTCATGCTGGGGCTTGCCCCCACCCCTCTCGTCACTGGTCAGGACCCCCAGGGCCTCCCCTTCCTAGCCTGGCACAGCCCTGGGTGTAGGGGTCACCCTGCCCACCTGAACCCCTTCCTCCCCAGTCTTCACACTCTGCCTGTCTCCCTGCCGCCTCTGAGCACCCCTGCTCTGTGAGTGCCACCTTCACCTCCCAGGGCTCAGTCCCCTCTTCTCTCTCTGCACCTGCTGCATGGGGCTGGCATCTCATCTTGTGGCCTTGAACATGGCCAATAAGCTATTGACTCCCAGAGTTATATCCCCAGCCCAGACCTCTATCCGGGACCCCAGACTCAGCTGTCCAACGGCCCACGCAAAAACTCAACCCGAGAGCCTGACACTCATCTCCAACTTCACGGATCTGAAGCCAAACCCGATTCCCCCCTAAAGTCTGCCCCCGACTCCGACTGTCCCCCTGACCCTGCCGGCCCCTCCCGGGGCTCAAGCCTTGATGCCTGTCGCCCTCACACACCGCGCAATTCTACCTCCAAGCACACCAGAGCCAGGGCAGGTGGCTAGCCCGGCAGTGAAGTCAATGGCTGAGATGCCCGTGCCCCACAGCCGAGTGCCGGGTTTCAATTCCCGGCTCTGGCTCCTGACTCCAGCTTCCCGCTAAGGCAAGCCCTGGGAGGCAGCAGTGACGGCTCAAGTCGTTGGGTTTCTGCCATCCCCGTGGGAGACCTGGGTTACATTCCCAGTCCAGTCCTGGCCATTGTGGGCATTTGGGGGGGTGAGCCAGCAGATTGGGGGGATCTCTCTCTTCATCTCTCTGTGTGTGTGAGTACGCATGCGTCTCTGAAGCACAAAAATGCATTTATGTGTCCGTCCAACCACTTCTGACGAGACTACCATCACAGCTACTACCTAAATCCAGATCACCCAGTAGGAGCCCCCTGCCCAGTCTCCCTGCGCTGCCCTGTGCCCCGACTCTCACCTCATGACAATCAGCGGGGGTGAACCTGGGCCCCAAAGCCCCCCCACCTCACCCAGCGGCCGTAGCTTGCCCTGCACGCCTGTGTGCGTGCCATTCCCCCAAGGCAAACTCCAGCCGCCCACCCAGCCACTGAACTTAAAGCATGACAGCAAATCTCAAATATGCACACGAGATTGTGAAACGTACACCGGAGTTGCACAATTTAATAAGAAAAAAAAATGAATGTAAAATAGCCCATTTGTGCCGGGGCCGTGGCTCACTAGGCTAATCCTCCGCCTAGCGGCGCCAGCACACCGGGTTCTAGTCCCGGTCGGGGCGCCGGATTCTGTCCCGGTTGCCCCTCTTCCAGGCCAGCTCTCTGCTGTGGCCAGGGAGTGCAGTGGAGGATGGCCCAAGTGCTTGGGCCCTGCACCCCATGGGAGACCAGGAAAAGCACCTGGCTCCTGGCTTCGGATCAGCGTGATGGAGAGTGAACCAACGGCAAAAGGAAGACCTTTCTCTCTGTCTCTCTCACTGTCCACTCTGCCTGTCAAAAATAAAAATAAAAAATGAATGTAAAATAGCCCATTTGTAACTGTTTGCTCTGCATGTGGCTGGGATAATATTTGAGCTACCTTGGGCTGGCCTCAGGGCCTTGGCACGTGCTGTTCCCTTGGCCGGGAAGGCTGTCCCTCAATGCCATGACCACACGGAAAGTCCTGGCAACTTCTCTAACTTCCATTCGGGCCTCTGCAGAAATGTTACCTTATGCCTGAGCCCTTTCTGACCCCCTCTGCACACGGTCACAACCCTGACACTCCACCTGTCCCCTACTCAGCTCTATTCCCTCCCGGCACGCCCGGTCAGCTGCCACAGTTCGACTTGTTTGTTCTGATCAAACAGAAGCTCCTCGGAGGGAGGGGCTTTGGGTCTCACTGATGTGTGCACTCCGCCAAGTGTGCACACTAATAGACAGGCGCTACGTAAGTATGTTTATTATGTATCTGAGAGGAAGATAAACAGAGAGCTCCCATGAGCTGATCCACTCCCCAGTGCCTGCAACAGCCAAGACTAGGCTGGGAGCTCGGAACTCAATGCACGTGCCCCACATGGGTGGGTGGTGGCACCCATGGGTGCCTCCCAGGGTCTGCATTTTGCAGGAAGTTGGAATCCGGGGCTGGATGGGGGGGGGCATATTCGTGACGCAGCACAAGCCCAACCACGTGACACCAGGGAAGGGTAATCGCAGAGACAGGGAGAGGACCAGGGGCTGTTAGGAGGAGGCGAGAGGGAGGCCTGGGCGGAGCACAGGACGCCCAAGGCAGTCTGTCTGACCCTGCACTGGTGGGTCCATATCGTGGTCCATTTGTCCACAGCCACAGAACGCACAATAGTACGAGTGAGCTCCGATGGCAGCCACGGACCTTGGGGGACGAGGTGTCCACCCAAGGGCATCGTTTGTCACACGGCTCTCGTGGGGGAGCCGACCGAGCGCCCACCGTGGGGGGATCTGTGCATATGGAGGAGCAGGGGCTATCTGGAAACTTGGCTTTCCTCTCGGTTTTGCTGGGGGCCAAAACGCTTTTTAAAAATTAGGTCTCAGAACTAGCATTGTGGTGCAACGGATGAAGCCGCGGCCTTCGACGTTGACATCCCATATGGCACCGGTTCAAGTCCCGGCTGCTCCACTTCCAATTCAGCTCCTTGCTGATGGCCTGGGAAAGCAGTGGAGGATGGCCCAAGCGTTTGTCCCCTGCCATTCACATGGGAGACCCAGATGAAGCTCCTGGCTCCCGACTGCAGTCTGGCCCAGCCCTGGCTGTTGAAGGCATTCGGGGAGTGAACCAGTGGGTGGAAGACCTCTCTCTCTCTCTCTCTCTCTGTGGTTCTGATAAGTAAATAATTTTTAATTAAGTCTTTTAAAGGGGGAACCTGGGAGAAATTACGACAGAAAGGGAATCGAGGTTTGTCTTCCTAATCAGGGAGGTCCTGTCTTTACTCAGGGCCAGCCACTTCCTGGACAGTGGGGCCCCGCTCTGAGAAATTGGGGTGCAGAGAGGCCAGAGACCTGGCCAGAGCTGGGTGGACAGGGAAGCCATGGCAGCCCCTGACCACACCTCCAGGGGGCAGCAGAGGGAGAGGAGCACAGCAGGAGCAAAGGCTGCGAGGCCACTCGCTGGCCACGCCGGGAGATGGACGCAGAGAGGGGGTTGGGAAGCCAGTGCCTGGGCCTCCCATGCAGCCCCCCACCCCACCTCACCCCCCTGCACTGCTGTCAGGGACCCAAGGATGCCTGCTACGCGGAAGCCCCGCCCCTGTGGGAGGGGCTCTCCAGGCCAGCGGTGGGGGGCAGGGGTGACCTGCAGAGCAGCCTGGGACTGAAGCACAGGGATGTGGCGGAGAGGAGGGCTAAGGGCACCGCAGCTAATTCGAGCAGCTCCCAGCAGGTGTCACTTCCCTGCTGGGAGCAGGCTCCTGCGCGGCCACGGCGGTAGGTAAATATAGCCTCAGCGGCTTCCATTTGGAGCCTGGACAGCGAAGGTTCTGGCTAGGGTGTGGGAAAGGCACACCCTGCTGTGCCCAAACTTGGTCTACTTTCTAGAAAAGAAAAAACTCCAGAAAGGTGGCGAAAACCATTGCAAACCGCCTGCTTATGGGGAAGATGGGGGGCACAAGGGACTCCCTCCCCAGCTGGGCACCTCTCCAGTTGGGTGGCGCCCACCCTGGATTCCATCATCAGAGAGACGGGTCAGAGCTGGTGGAGATAAGTCCTCCCTCCCACCCCCACCCCGGCACAGCCCCGAGGGCTTAAATCTGCGAAGGCGCCCTCCCCGCCCCTGCCCGAACCCCACCCCACCCCACCCCACCCCAGCACTGGGAGCTGGGACCACCCAAGACCTGAGAAGACGCAAGAACTGGAAAGGCACCCCAGGCCTGGCGCCTGGCCCCAGCCCACGCTTGCAGCTCCGGGCCCCGTGTGTGCCTCTCCCAGCCTTG